AGAAAGGAAAACTTGAAATCGCATCATATGACCCCTTTAATTACACAGCCCTACACTCAGCACCTTAAAAGTGTTAGGAAATGCAGTTAGGAATAGTGGAGGGAAGACTGACTTGTCATTTGGGACGTAGAGGTGAAACTCTCGGACGTGAGAAGCATCTTTGGAGAGGATGATGTTACCAGCAAACTGCCCAGGAGTGAACCAAAATGGAAAGTCTGGAACATCATTCAGCTGGAACTCAGCATGGATTCTGTAATTAATAACACAACATGATCAGACTCTGTTGGGAGGCTCACAATTAAAATAAAGTTAAAACTGAAGTTATAATCAGATATTAAGTGACCCACACAGTAAATTTCTTGTGGATTTTAAGAAAATCCCATTTATTCTGGATGACAATAACTTTATCCAAGCATGGCAGCATGTTTTCTAACTCACCTGAAAACAATGTCATAATAAAAGTCACTAGCAGCCCGTATACAAGCCACAGCTCCCTGTGGGGCGAAGCGAGATTTCACAAAGGGCCGCGGGTGGAACATACTCAGCATAGAGTGGATCAGTACCTGGAGAGAAATTAAACAATCACAACATCTATCCACCAACTAAACAGAAAAGGACAACCTCGGATCATCTATTATTCATGTGGTTAAATTCAAGTAACATTAAGTTAAAATGGTTTTGTTGAAGTGATTCAGCTCAAACATCTAAACTAATCCTAACTAATTTAAAATTCGTAAAGGTATATTTGTACCTCTTTGCCTCGCGGTGTGGGAGGATGATAGCGGTTGTTGGGAAGGTAGCCAGTGAAGATGTTCAATTCACTGGGAATGATCCACCAAGTGTCGCCCAGGGCAGATTTACCACTGGGTGGCAGGAAGACCTTGAACTGCCTGGCATAAAACGTGGATGAAAGAACAGCTGGACGTTTCCAAAATCTCAGCCCACTAAGAGAGCTGTGTGAAACCTGATGAGAAAGACACTGCTCTCAATTTACCTTATAAGCACATTTTGGGTATGCACCTTGTAACAGTCCACTGTCAACAATTATTTTAAGCTTAGTTTTTTAATACATTTCTTATTATTGGTAATTAAAATTTTTATATTTTTTAAATAATTTTTAAAATCATCACCCCGTCTGTTTATAACCTTGTTACCGGTTCAGACGAATTTATAAATAATGTGTAATGTTTACATTACCCCTAGAAAGCCATCTTTGCTCTTAGTCATGCTTTCCAGCAATAAAGGCTGCATTTTAGCATGCAGGGTCAGCGTCTCTCCATTCGGGCCATGTGGTATCTCCTCTTCAAACTCTGGGGGAGGTGCCGCACCTTCAGGCAACAGAGATGGACATCAGGCATTACAACAATGCTTTAAACTCTCAGCTGGAATTCAGGTTTCTACAGTGATGGAGACTATACCCTTGAAGCATTTTAATTCTGCTTCAATAGATAATATCTACTTGTGAAAGGATGTTGATGCTCTGCAAGTGCACAGATAGCAAGAATAATACCTGTGAGTTTTTCTGCAATAGGTTTGAATTCCTCTGGACTGAGATAGAGGTCATGATCAATATCCAGGGATGAGAAGAAAAAGAGTCCGTCTGCTCCCAGTGCCTTCAATCCTGCCTCCTACAACAGATACATATCCAAAATTTATTTCACAATCCAAATTATTATTTTTT